GGTGTTCAGCTCCAGGTTGTTAAGACTGCACCAGACAGCCAGCTCTTTAACCTCCTGTCTGTAAGCAGACTCATCTCTGTCCTTGATGAGACCGATGACTGTAGTGTCATCTGCAAACTTCAGAAGTTTGACAGAGGGGTCTTTAGATCCCTGGTCCCTGGTATAGAGAGAGAAGAGCAGTGGGGAGAGCACACACCCCTGAGGAGCTCCAGTCTGCAGGTGTTGAGGTGGGTACAGAGAGCTCTGTCAATTTAATCAGGAGGGTATCTGGGATGATGGTGTCAAAAGCGGAGATGAAGTCCGCAAACAGGATCCTTGCATAAGTCCCTGGTTTGTCCAGATGGAGGATGTAGTGCAGTCCCATGTTGACTGCATCATCCACAGACCTGTTTGCTCGGTAAGCAAACTGTAGGTGGTCCAGCAAGGGTCCCGTAATGTCCTTCAAGTAGGCCAACACCAGTCTCTCAAATGACTTCATGACCACAGATGTTAAAGCAACAGGTCTGTAGTTATTTAGTCCCATGATTTTTGGTTTCTTGGGTAAAGGGATGATAGTGGAGCGTTTGAAGAATCAGAACCAGAAAGAGCTTTTATTGCCAAGTGTGCTTACACACACAAGGAATTTGTCTTGGTGACAGAAGCTTCCAGTACACAGACAGGTTGACAAGTGACAAGACACCGATAACAAAAATAAAAATAAATTAGTAAAAATAAATATGTAAAAACAATACACAATAGACAGAGACAGTAAACAGTTTATTTTATGTTCAGATGTGCTGTATACAAATTATGAAAGGGAATGTGGATAGATGTAATATATATTAAATCAATAACATACGTATAATAAATATAATAGAAGGAGGGGACTTCACACAGCTCCAGTGATCTGTTGAAGATCAGTGTGAAGATGGATGACAGCTGGACAGCACAGGCTTTGGGGCAGGCTGGAGAGTCACTGTCTGGGCATTTAGCTTTCTTTATCTTCTGTGTCCTAAAGACTTTGCATACATCATCTTCACAGATCTTAAGTGCAGGCTGAGAAGCAGTAGGGAGGGGAAGGGTGTTGATGGCTTTGTTGTGAGATGGTCAGAGCGGGTGTGGGGTGTGAGATCAGGCTTTTCAAACCTGCAGTAAAACTCATTCAAACCGTTGGCTAAAAGTTGATTGTCCACAGTGCTGGGGGTTGTTGCTTGAAAACAGTTTTTTCAGCTTTTCAGTGTAGCTTCTCTTGGCTACTCGCATCTCGCTATTATGTATTTGGCCTGTTTGTACAAGGCTTTGTCCCCCCTCCTGTAGGCATCCTCTTTGTCCTGGCGAAGCTGTTTGAGTTTTGCACTGAACCAAGGTTTGTCGTTGTTAAATGTTAATAAGTCTTGGTTGGAACACACATGTCCTCCACTGATGTAGGATGTCATGATGTCAGTGAGCTCATCCAGATCAGTGTCTGCAGCCTCAAAAACACTCCAATAAGTGCAGTCGAAGCAGGCTTGTAAATCCCGCTCTGCTTCATTAGTCCATCTCTTTACAGTTCATACTACAGGCTTAGCAGATTTAAGTTTCTGCTTGTAGGCTGGTAGAAGATGAACCAAACAGTAATCAGAGAGTCCCAGAACCGCTCGGGGGACAGAGTGGTAAGCATCCTTTAAAAACTGTGTAGCAATGGTCCAGTATATTGCTGTCCCTGGTGGGGCACGTGATGTGCTGTCTGTATTTAGGCAGTTTGTGGGTGAGATTAGCGTTATTAAAATTACAGAGAATGATAATGAAA